ATATTCCCTCTTTTAGTTTGAAACTATTGCCCCTTGTACTATCACTACAGCTCCAGATAGTCCCTCTCCAAATTCCCCATACAGCCACTCCACATACTTGAAGGTTACTATGAAGTCTCGAAGCAATCTTCACCAGGCCAAATTTTCCTGGCCTGTCTTCAGAGGGGAGATTCTCCAGTCCCCTTAGCAACTTCATGGCCTCCTCTGGGCTTGCTTCAACAGTTTAATGTCCTTCTTGTGTTGGCGGCACCAGAACTGCATACAGTGTTCCAGGTGGAGTCTCATGAGAGCAGAGCAGAGGAGAAAAATTACCCCCGAGTTCTTTCACAAGCTTTTATTTTGTAGGTAAATATTTCTTAGACAATATGACTATGTTTTTAATTTTTTGTGTGTGTGTTTTTTTTTTTAAGCACTAGTCCTCAGCAAAAAGTAAATATTTTTCTGTTCCCTCTTACAGCTTTTTCACACACTTTTACGTTCTTGATTGCACCTATTAGCTGCCTGAGGAGAATCATCACCATTTACAGTAATTTAATACTAAAAATAACTTTAACAATGCATGTTATCTGCTACATAAGAAAGTAATTAAAAAAAAATTAGAAAACAGTGGTATGCCTTATACATTCTAAATGGCCCAGCAGAACATTTAAGTGTTGGGAACTCCCCATGTGTGGAGTCACGAGGCTTGACTCCATGTTTCTCAGAAGGCTGATTTATTATCTTATGATATATATTTTATTAAAATACTACATTAAAACTATACTAAAAGAACAGAGAGAAGAGATCATCAGAAGGCTACAAAGAACAAGAATAGACTAGAATAACAAAATCTTGTGACTCTCAGAGTCTGATGCAGCTGCATCTGTGATTGGCTCTTAATTAGAAACAACCAACATGCACCAATCACAGATGCACCTGTTGCATTCCACAGCAGCAGATAGTTATTGTGTACATTTCTTTCCTGAGGCCCTCAGCTCCTCAGGAGGGGAAGAATCCTAGCAGAGGATTTTTCATAAAATGTCATGGTGACATTTAAGCTCACGTGAATGGCAGAACAGAAATGATTACCACAGCAAAAAATTCAGAACTCTCATGTTGTGCTTTCAGATCATGGGGACCACATCTGCAGTCCTAAAGCAGGTAATACGTAAAATCTAGTGGGAAGTGTTTTGAACTGATCGGTTAAGAATGCCATGACTGGAAAGTAGCAAATGTGGGCCTGGCCTTGTCCTTGAGGCATTTAACTGAGGGCTTGCAGGCTGAGACTCATCTTCTATACTCAGATGTCTCCAGAGGTCAAACCATGTCATGAACAACCCCCTGCAATCTTCATCTCTCTCTCTGAGTCTCTGATGTTAGCTCAGCTGAACGTGGACTATAATTGCTCATCACTGAAAAGAAGAAAAGTGACCTGGCCAACCACAGACCCTGAAACCTGGTCTCAGTCTCACTACAAAGCTTTGGAAAAACTCAAATTTGCTGTATTAATTCCCAAAAACATTTGATATGGTATCACCTAGAAAGTAATGAGCATATTGGGGTTAGGAGAGAAACTGATAAATGAGATAGCCACAAATAAGGTTGAAAAGAAAGATGTCAGGCTTAAAGGGTTTGGTTTAGGATGGTCTTATTTGATATTTTTTGTAGTAGTCCTGATAAAATCAGTAAGAGTATGCTCATGAAATTTGGAAATGAGATATACTTAGGAATCACTATAAATTTGCTACTTTTGGTTGGGATAGAGTTAATTTTTTTCACAGTGACTCAAATGGGGCTGTGATTTGGATTTGTGCTAAGAAGAGTGTTGATAATGCAGGGAATTTTTTAGTTATTGCTGAGCAGGGCTTGCATGGAGCCAAGACCTTTTCTGCTCCTCACCCCACTCCATCAGTGAGTGGGCTGTGAGTTTATGGGAAACTGGGAAGGGATACAGCAGGACAGTTGGCCCCAGCTGACCAAAGCATATCCCACACCATGTGACATCATGATCAGTAAAAAAGGCCAGGGAAAGAAGAAGGGAGAACAGTTCACAAAGTCATGGTGTTTGTCTTCCCAAGTCACTGTTATGTGTGACAGGACCCTGCTTTTCTGGAGATGGCCGAACACCAGCCTGCCCATGGGAATTTGTGAATGAATTCCTTGTTTTGCTTGGTTTGCTGCACGGCTTCCACAAGTCTTCTCACTTTTGCACTTCCAATTCTTTCCCCCATCCTGCTAGTGAGGGAGTGAGGGAGCAGCTGCATGGTGCTTAGTTGCTTGCTGGGATTAAACCACCACAAGAAGTATCTCAGGAGATGGATTTTGTTTAATGTAGGGAGGTATTAAGGTCATTGTGTAAGGCCCTGGTAAAACCTCATTTGGGGTACTGTGAAAACCAAATCAATTGTTCTACAGCTGAGCTAATGTTGAACTACGAGAGAGCTAGAGGGAAGTTGGGTTCATCATCAGAGACCTTGAGAGCCTTTCAAAAGAACAAATCTTAGGATGGCTCAGCTTGTTTACTGCAATAAAACAAAACCAGAGAGGAGACAAGTGGTATCTATTAATAGATCAGGAAAATAAATATGAAGGATGAAAAGCATTTAAATAAAGGGGAAAGACACAAGAACAAACAGATATGTACTATTCAGTAATAAATATATCAGGAAACCAGAATAATATTTCTAGTCATTGCTGCAATTGACTAATGAAACTGCTTTTCCATGGAATTAGTGGGAACAAAAGTATTTCTATTTTTAATATGGCACTTGATAAATATATGAGGTGATTGTACAACAGAGGTTTTTTTGTAGTGGCAGGGAACTAATCCCTGTCATTCAGGAGGATCTTCCTGTTCTGTGTTACCATGCCAATTCATAGTACAAACAGCAGAACATTTTGTCCAGATTTGTGATTAATAATATGGGAAGGACCTGTCCGTTTTTTTCTGAATAGTAGGCAAGGTTCAGAAGTCCTTATGAATGCAACAGTTAGATTGTGTTACTGTGACTTCAGTAAAGCATATGATGTCAGCATTCTATAGAAAAGAACAGAAAGAATGAAATAAGCAAAAGAACTTTTAAGTGAGATGAAAAAAGCCTAGGTAAGTTAAGGTTAGAGAGTTCTTCAAGGATCAAGTCACAGGCCCAGAGCCCTCCTTGGATACCAGTACAAGTATGTATCAAATTACACCCTGGTTTTGTGCTGTTATGCTTTTGTGGTACATAGTGTTTGAATTTAATCCTTACAACTGTTAAGAGCAGCCTGGTCTGAAGCTGGTCCACTTAGCAGAGCCTTAAATTCAGGGTGCTGCACTTCCTTAATGTGCAGCAGTTAATGTGTTAGTGTGTGGACTGGCCCAGAGGTGCCAGCAGAGCTACTAACCAGTGTTAACTGATGTCATGTAATCAGTCCACAACTTGACCTCAAAAACAGAAACAGAGAAAAGCTGGTCTCCTATATGTTATGAGTTGAAGGTGTTGAATTTATTGACATAACAGTAGATTTGTTTCAACAGGGAGAAAGTTTATGCCAACAAGCTCATGCCAGCAGGGAATTAAGCAACATTTTATTTGAAGTGTGGCATTATGCATTTTCTAGGTCCTTTAATAACATTAAGTGGCTCATCACACATACATGATGCTAAGAATTACTGAAATAGAATCATTTAACACTCTGAAGTTTGAGGACATTTAGATGTTTCATTGTCCAAATACCTGAGTTCAAAAATGTATCTAGTCTCCTGAAGAGACTGTTTGCCAGGGCAGGACTGGTTCTATCACCTTTCTCTCCTGCTTGCATTGGGTGTGTCATACTTGATTTTCAGTAACAGGGCTGTGAGCACTTCATTGTCAAGCCTGATGGCAGAGCATCACTCTGTCATTTTTTTACTTCAGAAGCTGCTAATCAGTGATGCAGAGGGTGACTCAATTCTTTATCCTCAGTGAATCAATCCTGTGTACGAACAAGTGTGCCTGTGTCACAGAGATATATATAAATCAGTCACAAAAGGCTGGTAGCATTTTAAAGCTCTCCAAACTGACTTATACATAGTCAATGCATATTCTGAGTTTCATGATAAGTAATGCTTCAGTTCCTGCTCTTTTGTTCTTACTGTGTACTTCACATATTTGTATGTGATTGCTTGAAAATCACAAGGCTACAGCTACCTCAAAGCACAGTTTTACCCCTGTTTCTTTTCTCTCATGGTATAAATTACGAAGTAGTGTACTGTCATCAACTCTAACAAGAAGAAGCCATAAAATCTCTTCCCCCAACTATTTTAAAACTTCCACCAGCAGTTTTTTGAAATTTGTGGTTTATGTAGTCTTTTTCTCAGTCTAGAAAAGAACTAATTTCTATGGAAATATGTAGAAATTATGCTGAAATATTTTAGCAATATAGCTTTATTTAACATAGAGTTGAAATAATCAAAAAATGAAAGTCAGTTTTTCTTTCCTCGCCTTTCTGAACGTGAACACAGCTGGTAAATTTGCATAATGGTTTTAGTAATTGAGAGAAATAACTTCACCAACATACCCAAGGTCCAAATAGTGTAAAATATTGATGTATTAATTTTACAGTTTTATGGGAAAAACAAAAGAGATTTACCCAATAGCAAGGGTACACTCTTCAGTACAAAAAGTCCCACTAGATGGAAGCACCTCAGCTACCATAATAGAAGGAAGTACAACAGTTTAAAACACATGCCATGGAAAGGTATCAATGCTGGAAGAATTTTGAGGGAAACGTTTTATTTTGCCCAGATTCAGCTATCAGCTAAAAATTAAAAATCACAGAAATAGATACTTTTACTATGAGCCATATGAGCCATCTAATAAAACTCAGTGTCAAGCAGCTGTGCTGGTGTCCTTGGGTTTATATGCGTGCTGTATGCTGCAGCTTTGGAATTCTTTTGGAAGCCCTGCAGAATTCAGAACACAACACAATTTTTCTCTAAATCCCATTTATATTTAGTCATTATCTCAAAAAAAATCTTTCCAAAGTAAATGAATAGGTTCTCTGCTTTAAGGATTTCCTCTTCAATCCAAGCTTTTATGCAGCTTTCAGGTATGTTAGATATTACAAAGGTGGTCACAGATTGATTTTTCTTGACTTTCTTTGACTCTTCTTGTTCTGAAATAGAAATTTAAGTGACTAGTTTAATAAACATGATCAGTGACTGTCTTCATAATGCTTCCATCCTACAAACTTCATGTAACATTTCACAGGATTATTAGTTACCAGTAATTTTGATCTCTGCTAACTTGTATTAATGGGTTCATCCTTGTTCCAGGTGGCATTCCCCCACAGGCGATGATCCCTCAGTGCATGACTGACAAAGTTGATAACATCAGAAAGGAAAATAAAATATAGAAGTCAGCTTTCAGAACCTTTTTCACTTAGAGATGTGATTTTTTAGATATTATCAATGAATCTTCATGTAGATTCCTTAAAGAACATTGCTGACAAGGTGGCATTTTAAAAAGAGGTATTTTTATTTGAAAATATTTCCCAACAAAAATCTATTCCGCAGCACTTTGATTTCTATAGGTGTGTTCTGCAAGTACCTTAAGACTAAAAATGGTGGATTTAACTAGAAAAAGGAAAAGCAAGAGGAGAGTGATAAAAATGAATCTGTAGGATGAAGAAATATGATGAAAGGCTGCCTTCAGTGGCTGTTGGAGTAGAAGGAAATCACTGTTTGCACCAGTAGCTTGTGCTACTACACCTAGATGTTTTAAGTGGCAATGAAATGAGAAGGGATTGATGCCACAGCCAAAGAGCTGTGCAACTACCCACCTCTTTACATGCCATTAAATGCCTTTACAATTTTGGCATTTTCACTGTGAGACTGACAACGCTAATAAATGTGATAGTGCATAAAGCAAACAAAAAGGGAAAATTTTTCTAACTTGAAAACTTACTGAATGCTGTTTTTTATTAGTGATGCAAAGGAGCTCGCTTAAACGTAGGTTCCTTGTGAAGTCTTTCTAATGCTTTAATTTCTTTTTTATGAAAACTGCCTTAGAATTTCAAGGAATAATTACATCTAATAGAGCTTTAGCTCCTTTCAATGATACAATGAGTTCAGAGATAAGCTAACTATGTTCCAGTCTTCCAGATATTTCCTTCTATTTAGTTGTGTAGGTTCAAACATGGCATACTTTTTGAAGCAAGATTTTGAAACAGTCTTGACATAGCTTAGCTGGTAAGGCTTCCGGAAGATACAAAATTATTGTGAACACTGTCATTTCAGAGCAGATTTGCATTTGTGCTTAAGCATTGTATATATTGGTTTTTGACAGAAATCACTAAATTTCTACTTGAAAAAATGGAATGTTCCTGTCATGTTAAACTCCACCAAATCATGCTGTGAAATCTTAACAGACCCAATTTTACAACATATTTGTTCTTTTTCATTACTTTGAACATTGTCCCTGAATGTTCTGGTGGATAAACAGGAACATGCATGGAAACCCAGGTTTATGAATGGGAGTTTATTAAATGAGAGTGTTCATGTTCCTGATTACGGGAAAGACTTGCTATCCATTATGTTTTCCTCCCTCTGACAGCCCTCTGCCCCTCCTCTTGCCTCACTCGAGACACCCCCACCCCGAAGGCAGTCTCTCCAGGTGAGGCCCCAGCCCAGCCCGGGCTGACACTGGGCGCTGCTGCAGAAAGAGGTGGGGCTGCCACAGCTCCCTCCACCCTTGCCCAGACCCGAGTTCAGCTGCTGCTGCTGCTGCTGCTTTGCCAGTGGCAGTCGTCCTTGTGCACTGTAACCTCGGCATCCTCGGAGCATCCAGCAGCTGCCAGGCACTTGCAGCCCTCTCATGAATGTCTTTCTTTATCTCCAAGTGGCTGACTTTTGTTTCTCAAGGCTACTGTTTTCCATCTCCTCGCTTAAATACTGTAAGTAAAACTTCTGCTGTGGCTCTTTAGTTACTGCCTTTGTGAAATTCCTCTCTCTTGTACTGAGTAGTGGGAGTTACTAGTTCAAGGTGTCTGAGGTTTGTTGTGGTCTCTGCTCATGTTTGTGCTGTTCAAATGGGCCTTCAGCTTTTCAGTTTTTAGCTGGATTAAAACATGAAATCAGAACAACTCAAAATGTTGGTTGTTTCGCGGGGGCCGTTTTCCTCCTTTGTAGGAAATTGCCAGTGTGTCCTTCCTCTGAATGCTGGTGCCTAGTGAAGTGGAAGCGAGAAGAGAAGCATTTCCATCCCTACTTGTTTGCTGGAACCAGTTTTCTAAGAACCCAAAGAAGAAAACTAATGCATGCTGATAAACTCTCAGGATGCTGAGGCAGGTAATTCTGCTGCCTGCTGAAATGTAGCTGGGCCAGGTTTTTAGGAAGGAGCTAGGTTGGAGGGTATCTGTCTGGCTCAGTTCCTTGGGTTCTGAAGCTGAAGTAAAGGAATACCTGACTAGGGACCTCAGGTGGCTGCACCAGTGTGATTACACATTCAAACTAAAAATCATCCCAGGACCCTGAGGCCACAGCAAAAAGGCCTATTTCAAGCTGTGCTGGTTCCTGACCCAGTTTGGTGTGATTGTGAACTCCATGGTGTCACCCTAACTCTGTATTCTTACAGACATTCCACATAAATGTTGTATGATCTGTGGATTATTCTGTCTTTGATTGCATCACTAGGAGTTGCAGAAATGATGTCAGTGTGTTAGCACTTTGAAGATATCACAGACTAACTTTTAATATTGACAGTGATATTTTGAGTGGAAGAGCACACTTGCAATTCTGGCCAAATTCCCAGTAAAATTTGCACAGCTGCTCAAAATGTTCCCTTTTTTCTGTACAAAACCTCACATCATTTTCGTAATTGTATTTTACACTCCAAATTGGAAACTGTGGGAATAAACATGGCACCAATTACTTAAAATGGAATTGATTTAGGATACCAAAATAAGGGACACTGTCTGAAAGTTTTGACTGTCTTCTTTTTCTTCAGACTTCTTCCCATGTTTGTCTTTTTTGTTTGATTGGTTTCCTCTTTATGTTTATTCTCCTGTTCCTCTGCACTTTATCTTGATAGAAAGGGCTAATAAAAAAATATCAGGTGTTTTAGTGCTGTTCTGTCTAAACTTGATTTAAGGATATGGAATACACATCATAGGAAGACTGCATTTTTCCCAGGGGGAATCTCTGTATAGTAAAGGACACATATTCTGTAGCATTTGAAGTTCTTATTATGCCTCCTCTTTTATTACTCTTTCCATCTTCAATTCTCCAGATACTTTCTCTGTTTTCCACATATACTAGAAATAATAATGCCAAATAATGCCAAAATCTTACTAAATTTTCTATTATAAGCCAGAAAGGAATTTTCCCTCTTCCATTCTTGGAAGCAACAGCTGCTGAATTAGTTCATAACATTCACCCAATACACTGTACAGTCTGATTTACCATTCCTTCATTATCATCTTTCTGAGTCAGACTTTCCATGAAAGACTGGCTGTTTATAATTGTTATTTGTTTGCAGTAACTTAAAATAGCATACCACTAGGACTCTTCAAGCATCTGATATTAACCTGATTTTACTGACAATCCAAGCACAGGTGATTAAGGGAAGAAGTGCTGGTCTCAAGGAGCAGTTCTGACATTGGCTATGGTCACTTCAAACTTTTTGCTTTGGGTTTTCACATTCTAAATGGCATTAACAATTTCTAGGTGCAAGCCTAGCTTCCAGCATTAGGGTTCATTGACTGGTATTTATTCCACAGTTTGGAAAAAAAGGATTTTTCTGAATATATCTATAAATTATCTCTTGGGGTACCCATGAGAGTTATGTGACAATGAACTATATAACGTCAGAATCACTGTGATTTTATTCACTTCTTTCCAGGTATCTTCTTCAAGTATGGAATTTGTATGGAAACGATGGTGGTATCTTCAGCTAGGCTGTATGTTATTAGTGAATTTGGTTTATGCCAATCTAGAGTATCAAAAAGAAACTCCTCCAAGCCTGCGTGAGATTGACCATCAGTGCTGGGAGGTATCGTCCCATGGGCTGGTGGAAATGAAGAAACTCAAGGTAGCAGATACAGTCATTGCTCTCTGGGACTTCATGATGTTCCTAAAGGAATCCCCTAAGCCCAAGCACAATGACCTCTTCAATGATTTAGCCCAGAACTTCTGGGATATGTATGTAGACTGTGTGCTCTCAAGATCTCATGGAATGGGCAGAAGACAATTAACATCTCCCAAATATTCTTCCACGTACTCACACAGAACTTTAGAAGGTAACTATAGTTATAGGATATGGTACTAATATTAAACTGAACCAATGCTCCATCCTCACCCTTCATTGTTCAGACAACTCAATATACTCATTTCCAATTTTCTGTCTCTAATTGTCAAAAGTGTTTGCATCTTTCAATGGTAGCTACTTTCACAATACACGAGACACTGGTAGTTAGAGTACCACATTTCTATATTCAACGAAGTGTAAAAAATACTGAGTATGCATGTGGAAGTGTGTGGAAATGGATGCTGCATTCTCTATCACTTTGTGTATACAAATGACAATACATTGATAAGTAATTATAATACTGAAAGTTTCCTGGTATTAGGAGCTCAGTCTCAGCTTTGGGAAATCATCGTTCTGCAGAAGGGAAGCTCAAGTCCCTGATGGTTTGAGCCCTATTTTTCCTAGTAAAACTAACTGACATATAATGTGATGTCATGGTCACTGTGAATCACTGAACAGTTACAGGTTCAGGTCATGATGATCGGGTTTGAGTCTGAACTGAAATCATGTAGATGACTTTACATCTTACTAATCAGTCCTAGATCTCTTGCCCCCGTTCCTCCTCAGCAATGTGCTTTTTACTGATGTACCTGGTCAGATGATTCAGGTTCTTGGAATGAACATGCAGATTATTTAATCATAGCATTTCTAACGTATTGCTTGGACAATAACTACCTGTCTTTCATAATCTTGCAGGGTCTGCTTTCACCAATCCATTTTAGGCCAAAAGGGGAGAAAATGAAGATACTTAAACAAGGCAACATCAAAATGAAGGAGTACAAAGGAGTACAATGTGTATTGTAGATGTATGGACAAATCCTTTGGCATGCTGCAATCCTTTATTGTTTTCTTTTCTTTTTGTATAAAGTA